ACAGAATAGGGACCACAGATTAATAACCATCGCTCATCAATGTTAACTTCCCGAATTCATGTTGCGTAAGAGAATGTTCTCGTTCTTAGGAAATATACGCCGAAGTATCTCAAGGGCTAGAGGGGCAAGATGTCTACAGCTTATTTTTAAATGGTTCAGGAGAGAGAGGGATTGACAAAATGTGTCGGATTAACAGTTGGTGGAACCGTAGGAGAGTTCTTCATAGTATACATGCAACTTCATTTAAGTCTGGAATTTCAGAGACAAAGAAGAAAACACGAGATCACGGATGCCGTCACCAGTCTGCCCAGGTTCAAGCCCCCTGGCGGCTTCCTGTGTGGCTTTGGGCAGGTCCAAACTGTGGCGGTGCTTTTACCATCTGTGTAAAATGCAGACCGTTGTTGTGAAGTGGAGAACCTGGCACCTCGTAACTGGCCAGTGATGCTGCTGCTGCTGCTGTTGTTAGGATGGTGAGGAGGCCAAAGGAAAACCCGAGCCAGCCCTGACCGGCGTGGCTCGGTGGGTGGGGCGTCATCCCACAAAGCGAAACATTCCCGGTCAAGGCACATGCCTGGGCTGCAGACTTGGTCCCTGGTGGCGGGCACGTGAGAGGCAACCACACATTGATGTTCCTCTCACACACTGATGTTTCTCTCTCTTTCTCTGTCCCATCCCCTCCCTCTAAAAAAATAAAGAAAACCCAAGCCAGAGTCTGTCCTCTCCCTTCCTTTGAGGATGTTGTGTTCCAGGCTCCCCGGGTGGCCGGCAGGGACCACTGGGGCCTTGGCCACTCAGCACACAGCTTCCCCTGCAGAGCCGGGGCACTCCACAGATGCCCTGGCAGCTTCGTGCCCCACCTTCTCCTGGCATCGCCATGCCTGGCCTGCAGCCCGGGCTCCCCGTTCCTACCTGCCTTGCTGTGCAGGGCCCGGCCACTACTGCCCAGGGATGGGTGAAGAGCCTAGCGGCCTCAGGACTTTCTGAGCAGACAGGTGTGATCGCTGGGCGTGGCAGTGCCTGCTGTGGACAGGTTTGTAGCAGTCACTGCCCATGGGAACATGTGAGCACTTAATGGAGATGTTTGTCTTATCCCCCATGACCACCAAAGTACCTCCAACACCTCGCTGAACACTCCCTCGCCCCTCAGGTCGCTTCTCTGATAGGCCCCAGCCCCGACCAGGGCGCTTTCCTGTCACGCACCTGTGCTCTGTGCACACTTTGGGCACCTGTGAGTGTTGTATGCTTTGTGTGATGAATCGTCTTCTGCCCCTCTTGACGCAGCAGTCCTCTCAAACCTGCCCCAGGGGTCCCACTGGCTGTGTGTCCACTGTGGGGTCTGAGCATCCCTGTAAGAATGGCTTTTGTTTGAGTCTGCAGTTTCACCTAGAGAAACTGGTGCAGGCGTGTTCCAGGTCTCCTGTTTGAGCATTTCAGCAGCAGCTGTCACGATTCTGGTCCTTGCTGGCCTCCGTTTCCGGCCACACGGGTGCGCCGTCGTGCCACTCCGCGATGCCAGAGGGGACCCACACACAGGCAGCTGTAACTTGCAGGTGACTGTGCCGAGCAGAAACCAGATGGTGTCAAAGCAGGCTGTGTGGCTGAAGGTTTCTGCGTTGGGAGGCTGGGGAGAGGGTGCAGGTGAGCCGGAGGGAGGCTGGGCTGTCCTCAGCCAAGGCTGACATTGTCCATTGCACCCGAGTCCCACAGACTGGAATTCTGTCGGGTCCACCTGTTTGAAGGCATTCCATCCCCCTTTGCTGATGGGGAAGTCGAGCCCCAGTCACCAGCTGGGAACCTGGGATCGCTGTCTCCAGCTCTGACTCCGCTTTGCCCTTTAAATGAAACAATGATTGATGTCAAGGTTTAGTCTGAGATTTGAGCGCTTAACTAAGTGTTAAATGTGTCTGCTCAGTTAATCGCCAGGTTTTACAAGGAGCACGCAGAGGCTGCCAACGTTTTGGCAAAGGGTTAAATACTTTCATCAGAAAACCCGCGACCCTGCAAAGGTGTAATTCCGGGGCACATTCAGGCAGTGGGTTGCCAGTACCAGTTTTATATGCTGCGTCTGGTAACAATACAGGGTGGGAGAGGTCATTCTGAAGACATCTGAGGCATCGGAACCAGTTTGTGCTTTTCTAACTGATGGGACATGAGACACGTCCATGCAGGACCGAAAGCCTCCGTCATTCAGCTTGAGTAATCCAGGCTGCAGCTACCGTCGCAGCACTTCTGGGGGACGAAACAAGCGTGCTGCAATTCTCAGTGAGCGTTAGGAACAGCCCTTGGGCGTGGAACTGTTGGAAAATGATGTGACACCCTGTGTGGATGCTGTCTTGGCTGGAGGGTCTTCTGCAGCCTGGGGCTGGTGGTTTCCGAGCTCCACCGCCCTGCTCAGGAGGAGGGGCCGGTGCATGGCAGCTGGTTCTGGCTGTTGTGCTGCTGGGGACCCAGGCACTGTGGGGGTGGCCAGCATTCCCAGCCCTTGGGCCTGCACCTCATCTTCCTTCAATGCTAATGGTTGCCGGAAGTTACACGTTAGCACACTTCACGTCTTAGGTGGATTTCTGTCTTCCCTGGAAAGACCCACAGAGTAGTGTGATGGACTGAGTTGTGTTCCCACAAATTCACACAGTCCAACCCTAAACCCCCAAGGCCTTTCAGAAGGTAATTAAGGTTCCATGAGGTCATCGGAGCAGGGCCCTGGTCGGGTAGGACTGGTGTCCCTGGGAGAACAGGGAGAGAGAGACCAGAGGCCCCATCCTCTGTGCACATGCAGGGAAGAGGCTGTGAGCACGCAGCAAGCCAGCCAAGGACAGAGGCCTCGGGGGAACCACACCTTGATCTTGGACTTCCAGCCTCCAGGACTGAGAAAATACATTTCTGTTGTCTAGGCCCAGACTGCAGTCCTTGGTTACAGCGGCCCGAGCAGACTGCTACAAGTAGGTACTACCAGGCCAGCTGCCTGCCCAGCCCTCATTACCCTGAGCTGTAACCTGGGTGTTCAGTCCCTGGTCACACAGCCCAGGTATTGGCAGACCCAGAACAGTGACAACTAGCCTGGAGAAAAGGGATGGCCCCGGGGCTGTGGCCCACAAAGCAATGTGGTCCATTGCTTTTAAAAAGCCACTTTTTAAAAGATTTTTTTTATTTATTTATTTTTAGAGAGGGGAAGGGAGGGAGGAAGAGAAGGAGAGAAGCATCAATATGTGGTTGCCTCTCACGCACTCCCCATTGGGGACCTAGCCTGCAACCCAGGCATGTGCCCTGACTGGGAATTGAACCAGCAACCCTTTGGTTTGCAGGCCCACGCTCAATCCACTGAGCCACACCAGCCAGGGCTGTTTGTTCACCATTTTGAATCTTTCTCCTGGGAATTGTGTTCATTATCCAGAAACGTTTTATACGGTGATGGGGGAAGGCCTCTTTGATCTTCTTCAGAACTAGGGGTCTGGTTAATGTACTCTGCCTCCATCGGTTCTCCTTTGAAAACCTTCTGAGGATTTTGATTGATCTTTCAGTTCTACTGGTTTAGCTGAGCAGCATGGAGGGTGGGGACCCAGAGGGGAGTGTGGGTCCCCTGTAATGGCCGCGACTGCCCCAGTGCTTGCTGGCTCCCTCCCACATCACCGGGGGTGACTTCCCAGCAGGTAAAAGTCCAAGGGTGGCTTCTCCGTCTGTGTCCGCGGTGGTGAAATACTGTAGTGTCTGTGCAGTTCATGTTGCCCTGGAAGCAGAGCCTGAGGCAAGGGCTCCAGTGCAGAAAGGTTGTTTGCACTGGTTCCCAACAAACATGAGTGGGGGAGTGGAGGAGTGAGACAGGGGAAGGGACAGGGGTGTGCGTGAGGCCTGTCACCACCGCGGGCAACTGCTTTATTCTTAGGCTACTCTGGCAGCCAGTGTGGACGTGCCTCTTGTACCCCCGGGAGGGTGGTGTCTGTGCATCTGTTCCCACCGGGCGTCGGTGCAGGCGCCCTGGCTCGGAAGCTGTCAAGTTAGAAACCCCAGGCGCTCTGCGCTGGGGCCCGGTGCTTCAGTGCCCCGGTTTCCAGCATGCCCTTCTGTCCCCTCCCACCCCTCCCCCCCCCCGCCCCTGCAGGCCCTCCTCTCCATGCTCCCCCAGAAGGGTTCCTGGGAGCCTGCAGGGCCCAGGGGAGATCCCTGTGCTCATCTGCCTGCTGTCAGCACCAGCCCAGTGGCCTAGGGGGTGGGCGGAGGATGAGCCTCAGTGATAAACAGTCTGCTCCCATCCCCAGTCTCCAAGACTGGCTCTTGCCGAGTTGCCCATTTGGCCCACAAGTCCCCTGACCCCCATGTCACCTGGTTCCCATAAGCTTCGTCCCAAGGCCTGAGCTCAGTAGACTGGCTGCTGCCTACAGCCCCCTGGCCCAAGGGAAACCCTGACTTCCTTCCTGCCTGGGCCCCCCTGCCCCACATCGCCCTCTGCTGCCTTCACTGCAGCACACCTGCTTGGTGGAGGAGGGGCGGGGAGCAGAGTGCCCACTGGAGAGGCGAGTGCCCAGGGCCAACTCCCACTCAGGTTGGAGGTGGTCTTTCCTCTCTTCTCCCCTCGTTTTCCTGAGGGTGTTGCCTTTTGACTGTCCTGGGTGTGTGGGTTTTAGCCTCGCTTTCTGTTGGAAGCTGTTCTCTAAATCAGAGCAGAACACGCATCTGCTTGTGCCATGCAGTCTTCCTCTCGTGCCCCCCCAGGGAGAGCTTCATTTTTTATCTCTTCTGAATATGACTTTATGAGTCCTCTCCTCTTCAGAATTCTGCACATGTATTAGTGATTTCTTTGATTCTTTCTTGTTTCTTTTTTGGCCAAGCCCAAAGTCAAGGTGAAGAGATGCGCACTGGCCCACGGAAGCAGTGGGGTCTGATCCACTGTACTGCTCATGTGCGGAACGGCACACGGGTCTGGTGGCCGAGCCCCGTACCTGGCCCACAGCGCCAGCCACAGACAGACTGTGCCAACACCTGTTCCCTGTGCTTCTCTCCCACAGGCTTTTGCCCGTCTGGTGCTCAGGGAGCCCACCAGCATGGCCTGTGGCACTTGGCAGCCACCATCATCTCACTAGCGCCCCCACACTGGCGGCAGCGGTAGGATGCAGCTCTCGGCCGTGTTCAACGCCCTGCTGGTGTCGGTGCTGGCGGCCGTGCTGTGGAAGCACGTGCGCCTGCGCGAGCATGCGGCCAGTCTGGAGGAGGAGCTGGCCCGTCGGCCGACAGGCGCCCGAGGCGGCCCCAACGCTGAGAATCGACTACCCGAAGGCGCTGCAGAGCCTGATGGAGGGCGGCACGCACATGGTGTGCACGGGGCGCACGCACACCGACCGCATCTGCCGCTTCAAGTGGCTCTGCTACTCCAACGAGGCGGAGGAGTTCATCTTCTTCCACGGCAACGCATCTGTCATGCTGCCCAACCTGGGCTCCCGGCGCTTCCAGCCGGCCCTGCTCGACCTGTCCACCGTGGACGACCACAACACCCAGTACTTCAACTTCGCAGAGCTGCCGGCCGCCGCCCTGCGCTTCCTGCCCAAGCCGGTGTTCGTGCCCGACGCGGCGCTCATCGCCAACCGCTTCAACCCCGACAACCTCATGCACGTCTTCCATGATGACCTGCTGCCCCTCTTCTACACCCTGCGCCAGTTCCCCGGCCTGGCCCGAGAGGCCCGGCTCTTCTTCATGGAGGGCTGGGGCGAGGGCGCGCACTTCGACCTCTACAAGCTTCTCAGTCCCAAGCAGCCTCTCCTGCGGGCTCAGCTGAAGACCCTGGGCCGGCTGCTGTGCTTCTCCGATGCCTTCGTGGGCTTGTCCAAGATCACCACCTGGTACCAGTACGGCTTCGTCCAGCCCCAGGGCCCAAAGGCCAACATCCTCGTCTCTGGCAATGAGATCCGGCAGTTCGCGGGGTTCATGATGGAAAAGCTGAATGTGAGCCTGGCGGGGGGCCCACTAGGTGAGGAGTACATTCTGGTGTTCAGCCGCACGGAGAACAGACTCATCCTGAATGAGGCGGAGCTGCTGCTGGCGCTGGCCCAGGAGTTCCAGATGAAGACAGTGACGGTGTCCCTAGAAGACCACATGTTTGCTGATGTCGTGGGGCTGGTCAGCAACGCCTCCATGCTGGTCAGCATGCACGGGGCCCAGCTGGTCACCGCCCTTTTCCTGCCGCGTGGGGCCACCGTGGTGGAGCTCTTCCCGTATGCCGTCAATCCTGACCACTACACCCCTTATAAGACACTGGCCACGCTGCCCGGCATGGACCTGCACTATGTCGCCTGGCGGAACATGGTGCCAGAGAACACAGTCACGCACCCTGAGCGGCCCTGGGATGAGGGGGGCATCGCCCACCTAGACCAGGCGGAGCAGGCCCGAATCCTGCAGAGCCAGGAGGTCCCGCGACATCTCTGCTGCCGCAACCCCGAGTGGCTGTTCCGGATCTACCAGGACACCAAGGTGGACATCCCATCCCTCATCCAGACCATACGGCGGGTGGTGAAGGGCCGCCCAGGGCCGCGAAAGCAGAAGCGGACCGTCGGCCTGTACCCGGGCAAGGTGCGGGAGGCGCGGTGCCAGGCGTCGGTGCAGGGCGCCTCCGAGGCCCGCCTCACCGTCTCCTGGCAGATCCCCTGGAACCTCAAGTACCTGAAGGTGCGGGAGGTGAAGTACGAGGTGTGGCTGCAGGAGCAGGGGGAGAACACCTACGTGCCTTACATCCTGGCCCTGCAGAACCACACCTTCACCGAGAACATCAAGCCCTTCACCACCTACCTGGTGTGGGTCCGATGCATCTTCAACAAGCTCCTCCTGGGACCCTTTGCAGATGTGCTGGTGTGCAACACGTAGCGAGCGTGCAAGGCCAGGCCTCGGGAGGGCGGCTCCCCCGACCCAGGGTCCCTGGGCCCACTGCCTGCCCCCTGCCGGGTGGCTTCTGGGAGACGTTGGTTTATTTATTGAGCAGGCCTGCCCCGGGCCTGTGCCTCTGTCTTCTTCCTGCGTCTGGGGTGTGGGGTCTGCAGCACTCCTGTGCTCTGTTGCAGTGGGACACTCCCACCCCTGTCTCCTCGCATCCTGAGCATCCACACCTCTGGAGAAGGTCCTTAGGGGGAGGAGGAGGGGGGAGAAGGAAGGTAAGAATCCAACGGAACCTCTTTCTGGGTGATCATGTTGGTCCCTACCCAGTCTTTCTGGCTGGTACCCAGGTTTCTACAAGGAAACTACAAGTAACCGATCATGTGGTTGTTTGGGCAGGTGGGTCATCAGCTTCCATCACCATAAAATTCACCTGTAGCCCCGTGAAGGGACATACATTAAATGCTTTGCAACGTCTTTGTCAAGTTTTTTATCGGACAGTAGGAAGTAGTACTGGGAGATGCCCGCTAGTCCCAATTGCCAGCCACAGGGGGGCAGCAGAGGGAGGCGTCAAAGACTGGGAAGCTAGGCTGGCTGATTGGATTTCACCTTGACTGCCGGGTGAAGGTCACCATTCCACCCAGGTGGGATGGAAGCCTGGGAGTGGGTGGGAGAGGGCCTGGTGAGGAACATCAGCGACCACCTGCGCTTCTCAGGGTCAGCTGGACACCTACACTCACGAGGCCAAGACAGACACCCCTGGCGTGGGGTCCACTCAGAAGGACATAGGACAGGACACTTGGTAGGGTGGCAGGGCAATGTCAGGCTCTTGTCTTCCACAGGAGAGGGGTCCTCACGCCAGTCCAGGGTCCATTCTCTTGCCCCTGCCCCTGGAAGTGACTACTCAAGGGTGAGGACACAAGACCCACAGCGGTAGTTGTGTGGGACGCTTTGGCTCGGAAGCCCTACCAGAGCCGTTGTCACACGACTCACAGTCATAGTCCCCAGGGTCCCTCGGGGGACATGCCCGGTGTAAGGGTCCCTGCCCACAGGGAGCCTGACCTCTGGTTCTTCCCAGGGAGTTCAGTTCATCCCTTTGGAGTCACTCCATCCAGACATGGCTCCTCTTGCAGAGGTCAACTTCAGGGTCAGCAGTGTCACCCAACAAACACCTGACGCTCTGCTTTTACCTGGCTTCCGTGCACACAGGGCTGGGGAGCCAACCCCAGGTCACATTTGTCCTTACAGGAGAAAGAGTCCTCCCCTCTCCTTCAAAGGGAGACTCTCCTGCTGGTCCGACTCCCATGGGGGACAGAGGGAGAGGGGGTCAAGGAGGGCGTTCCAGCTCTTAAAGGTGTGCACCAGGATAACCGGGTCCCTTAGCCGGGGTTGTCTGTCCCACACATGTCTGGTCCCTGGATGTGAGCCGCCGTGGGACAGGGTCGCAGTGCCAGTGTGGGTTCATGGCAGGGGACCTGAGGGGCATGTTTTTGTGGTCAGCATGTGCCTCCATGACATTTTACCCACAATATCTGTCTCCCTACTGTACCCTCCACCGCCACCCTCCCAGACTGCCGCAGGAAGCCACCAGGACAGGTCCGCGCAGTTGGAAGTCTCTGACCCTGCCGGGGCAGAGGTGGCGCAACCACTAGGCAGTCCCACTAAAGACACGCCTCAGCTACTGCTTCTCCCCGCAACTCTGCGTCTGGGTACACACCCCAGAAGCGAGTGCCCGTGTCCCCAGAGGACGGGCACAAAACCAGTCCCAGCTCTGACTAGGCAGAAGCTGCAGACAACCCAGATGTCTGCCGGCAGGTAAATTCATGCAAAGCACACGACAATGGAAAAAGAGTGAGCTTTGGGCTCCTGCAACGACGTAAATCTCACAGACCCAAAACACATACTGTGTGGTTCCATTCATGTGAAATCCCAGGACAAGAAACCAGTCTGTGGTCATGAAGGTCAGAACGGAGGTTGCTAGGAAGGACTGATGATGGACACGGGGTGGGGGCGCGGGGCCTGGGAAGTGGGAAAAATCTTGATTTGAGTTACAGGGTTATTGTAACTCAGGGTTACATGGCGTGGCTGGCTGGCTGTGTAAGCAAGCATCAGCTTACACTGGAGGTTAGTGCGTTTTACACACTGTATACATGCACATTGCACCTCGGTGACAAAGGGAAAACTCAGCTCAAGATGTTGGGGAGCCCCGTGTCTGTCCCCTCCAGCTCCCTAGTGAACAGGCCTGCCGCCTGCCCCCAGCCCCAGCTCCGCTGCTCGCGGGTCCTCCGGGAAGGCACTCCGCCCCCACAAGGGGGCGCCCACCGCTCAGTGAGGGTGTTGGAGTCTGCACGGTGACAGAAGGGGCTCCTCCGCTCCTGGTTTCCGTGAACCAGTGGGTTTCTGCCTGGGTCCAAGTCACTTTCTCCGAATCTGAAATCCTGCCCTACGTGAAGTCTCGTCCTGGTACTCTTTCCTCTTAACGTTATAACATGAACGCTTTACCATGTCACCAAAGGTGATTCTTTGAACACAAGGCTCTGGATGGCTGAACTTTGACCCAGCGTGTGGCCTAAGAAACTGGTACCCTTTCCCCAAGTCCTACCCACCTTTTGATAGCACTAAGTATTGCTGGCTCTTCTTTTGCATGTTTTTAAACATATTTTTTAAAAATTGATGTTTCATTAACTTGTAAAATACACAGGTTTCGGTGTAAAACTCCAAGAGTTGGACAAGCGCCTCTGCCCACGCATACCCACCCCCCCCGCCGTGTGGATGGCGCCATCATCTCCGCATTTGCACTTTTTGACACTTCAGAAACTTAGAAATAACAAGGCAAGGTTTCCTTGTTATTATATAGGAATTATTAAAGTGTGTTTACCATTAAGGGTATTATTTCTCGAGGCTGCTTGCTTTAAACCTGCCTCTTAAACACAACAGCCCATCAGTGACTCAGGTGAAGACTCCGGGGGGAGGCGGGGAGCTGGCTGCTCAGGAAGCCCCTCGGACCCCACCTCCCGTGGGCCGCCTCCTCCATCAACAAGGCAGCCCGGTGTGCATCCAGTCTTGGCACCCCTCGCTCATATCCCGCCACCTCTGGGGTCCCCTGGGCTTCTGTCTGCCTCCTGTCCCTCTGTCCGACACCTCCATCTCCTCCCCTAGGCCTCCTGAGGGAGAGTCCTGCCCTCCCCGCACTTTCGCCAGCCTGTCCCCTTCCACGTCCCTAAGACCAAGACTGAACTCTGTCTCTGCTGTTGAGTGAAACCTGAGTTTCCACCTAGAGATGCCTTCCTCCCTGGGTAACTTCCTCGAGACCTGGTGACTCATCAGCTGGGCAAAACCAGAGGTTACCCCAGCTCCCCCACTCACCCTAAGAAAGCCTCCGGCCCCCATACCCGAATGCCCTACCGGGCCCCAACCCCAAAGGAGCATCATCCCTGGGGCAGCGCTCCCCAGAACCCCAGGCGGCCGGCAGAGGTCTCCGGTGTGGGGCGGGAGGGCCGGTGATGCTCAGGCGAGGGGGCACTCCTCGCTGTCCCTCCAAGGGGTCATCAGAAATCTGCCCTCCTCCTGCCTTGGAGCGGAGTGCAGGCAGTTCCACGGGGGAAGAAAGGCCAGCGTCCGTGGAAAAGCCCCAAACCAGAGGGACAGCCCTTACCTGCAGGTGGTCGGCAGTGGGCCTTCAGGAAGGGTCTCATCTGAGCTGCCTGGCAAGCCTCGGGCACTCTGGTGAGACGACAGAAAGCCCAGACCACCGGGAACATCTTGGGATGTTCGCCGAGGTCGCTGTGGCCTCCTCTGACCTCCTCGGGCCCGCAGCTGCATCCTTGGTGACAGGGACCTGCTTTCCAAACAGAACGCCAAGGCACGCGCTCTGACGACCAGATGGAGCAAACCTGGGCCTGCCTCCACACACCTGGGGCATGTGGCCACCGAGCACACGGCCTCTGACTCCTTCCAAATTGTGTTCTCTGGGGAAATGTGCTCACTAAGATTTTTGGAATGAATTGAGGGAAGGGAGGGAGAGAGGAAGGGAGAAAGAGAAGGGTGGGTGGTACAAGCAGAGGCTCTGGAGTCAAACGAGCTTGTTTCAAATCCCAGCTATACCAGTTATCTGCTCCGTGACCTTGGCCAAGTGACTCGACATCTCTGAGCCTCGGTCTCCTTGACTGTCAAATGGGAGCAGTAAAGCCTACCAGTTGTTTTGAAGTTTGCAGTAAGGAGTATAGGTAGAGCCCTTGGCATGGAGGCTGCTGTCCGTGTTCAGCTCACTCCAGGCGGTACCCCCCAAGTTCACAGGCAGACTCTGCCAGCTCTCTGCGTGTGGCCAAGGGCAACGCACTCCCTGCCCAGCTGAGCATCTTCATCTGCAGTGAGGATCTGCAGCTGGGGTGGCTGTAGGCGTTTAGGAAGTCCTCCGGGTAAAGCAGCACACCTGGCTTGTAATAAACGAGTCCCGACGACTCAGGAATGCCTTACCCAAGCCCTGGAGGCCAGATGACCCAGAAACCTGAGCCTTTCAGATGGAGAAAGGTGCCAGGTATGCACTCTTCCTGTAGGGGCCGAGGTTGCACCCGGTAACTCCCCACAGAGGTGTCTGCAGTGAAACACGGACATCCACACAGCATGGGATCGGAGTTCTGGCACCAGTGGCTGAAAGGGCTTTCGATTTGCAGAGCTTGGGGGACTGCTGGAATTGTACCTAGGGAGACACGAACCTCTGCTCCTGCTGTCAGCCTCTGCTGCTGGGAAATACCATCATTTTCCTTGGAATGGCTTTTTTTGGGCGAGGTGCAAAGGAACAGGGTCAGGCCTAGGCGGGGCCAGTCGGGCAGCTGAGTGGCCAGCGGCTGCGATGGCCTCACTGGCACGCTCTGTCAGGGCCCTCGCCGAAGGCCAATCCGCGTGCAGCGGAGCAGACGCCCTTCCCACCCCTGCCCTCTGCCCCGCAGACCGAGGCAGCTCCTGCCCGGGAAGCATCTGGCGCTGGTGGGCATGTCCTCATCCCCACCCCTGGCAGTTCGCCTCCCTTGGCACATCCTCCTCGTTCCAGAGGTAATGGCAGGGGAGGCACAGAGCAAGCAGCACGCACAGGGAGGCTGAGCGTGCTTTTTGAAAAGGATAAAAAGCGGTTGAAGTTTCAAGTTTGCAGGAAAGACGCAGCTCATAGACTGAGCAGACTTTCCAGCAAAGAGCAATGGGCAGGGAGCCAAGCCCATGTGACCGAGCTTGGCTGTGGAGTCTCTGCCTGCCGCTCCACATTCCAGGGAACGGCGGCCCCGCCTCTGAATCCAAGGGGGTCAGAAGAAGAAGCTCTGTGGGCGGGGCGGGGGAAGGTGCTGGGAGCATCTTTCACTGGTGGCTCTGGGCTTGAGAGGCGTTAGCATGGCTCCTGCCTGGGTTTGAATTCTGGCCCTTCCACCTGCAAGCTGGGTGACTTTGAACAAGTTATTTAACCCCTCTGTGCTGCATCTGTAAAATGGAGATGACAATCAATCACGTCTGCCCGTCAGGTTGAGGTGAACCACTGTCACTGTGCCTAGTACACAGCCACCAGTCATGAAATGCTAGTGGGTTTGATCTTTTCATTTTTAAAAAGATTTTATTTATTTTTAGAGAGAGGGGAAGGGAAGGTGAAAGGGAGAGAAACATCAGTGTGTGGTTGCCTCTCACGCCCCCTACTGGGGGCCTGGCCTGCAACCCAAGCATGTGCCCTGACTGGGAATCAAACTGGCAACTCTTTGGTTGACAGGCCGGCACTCAGTGCACTGAGCTACACCAGCCAGGACTAAAAGTTAATGGTTTTTATAGCAGGTACTCTTGGTCAAGAGCTAACCTCAGATCGGAACTCACGGCTCCTGCATTCAAGTCCAGTCCTCCAAAAGGCAAAGCTAAAAAACAAATCGAGGGTAAATATAGATACATGGGTATATATTTAAAGACTTTCTGAAGCAGAAGGTAGGAAGTCCAGGGCACCTGTTAGGCAACCACACATCGAGAGGCCTGTGCCCCCAAACCACAGCCAACAGCCATTCCCAGCTGAAGAGTGGCCAAGGCAGGGGCTGGTGCTGGGGCTCAATCCTGGATTTCTGGGAACTTGGACGGAACTGGACTTGGAGCACCCCCGCACCCCCTCCCCAGAGGAAGAGGCCAGTGTTGATTGAGGGGAATGGGTCAGGAGATGGTGTCTTTGCCAGGTGGACTAAGCAAGGACAGCTGGACCCCACCCAATGGTGCCTCGGGTGGTCCACAGGCCCTGGGCAGCCTGGGAGGGGCCATCAACTGTCCACCCATGGCCTCTTTCTCTGGCTGAGCAGACCTGCTCACATCAGGACACAGACGTGCTTTCCGGAAGCTTGGGGCCTTGCTCACTGACAGGAAGGTCCTGGTTTGGTGTCTTCAGAGAGAAACTCCACAGGAGTGCACACACCCCCACGCAGACTGGGGGGATTCCCTGCCTGTCCCGGGCAGCCACCCAGACCTATTTCCATGCCAAGGAAACCTGCTCTGGGGGGCGGCTCGGGTCGCCCCTAGGGGATGCTGGCCAGCTGCCTCCCCTAGATTACCCTCTAAGAATCAGGGTCAAGCAATATGAAAATAAAGAGCACCCACATATCAATGGGAGAGCCCTAACTCTGCCTCAGCGATGGAAATTTCTCCACGTTCCTCTCTCCTTAACGTTTTCTGGGGTGACAAGGGTCTTGCTCCCAGCTCTGGCTGAAGGTGGGTCCTCAGGCAAGAGGGAGGGCAGGGACTGAGTGGGGGCTATTAAGTGAACCCTGGTTGAGTCCAGGAAGGGCAACATCCCCTGAGAAGGATGTCCTAGGGAAGAACAAAGGAACAAAGGGAGAGGAGAAAATATAAGAAGTCAAAGGAAGACAAATGTAGTGATGCTCTTAAGAGGAATACCTGAACCTTCTGAAGCCAAACCCCTCCTACCAGGGACCTAGATCTTGCCCAGGACACTGCTGCATCCTGTGCCTACTGAATATGCTGGCGTAAGAGTTGTTTGTGTGTTTGTAACCACCCCCTGCCCCCAAACTGCCTCTCCCACATCAATACAGAGGTGCCTTGAACAGATTGTAAAAGATCTGGAGAAAGGCACCAGGCCCAAATGGTTTTATGGGAGAGCACTATCAAATCTTTGCAAAATACATGATTTCTGTTTAAATTGCTCCAGTGTTAAAAAGGTGAAAAATTCTGATTCTGTTTTATGAGGCCCACTTAACTTTAATAATAAGTGGATCGTGGAGTGCACAGGAAAGGAGAATCTTAGGCCACATGTGAATATATATATATGCAAAGATTCTAAGTTAGCAAATTAAATCCTGTCATTCCTAAAAGACTAACATACCTCAGCCAAACATAAAGACATTGAAAGAGCATTTAACAAAATTCAATCCCCATTCTTGATTTGAAAAAGTCAGTCAGCTAAGCATAAAAATAAACATTTTAAACTTAATAAAAGATACTTATCAGAAACTATCTCTTTGAACCTGAAAATACTCAATGGCAAGATTCTACAGGTATTCCCATTAAAGTCAGGAGTAAGATGAGAATGCTTACGACTACCACTATCATTCAAGTTAACCCAGAGATCCCAGCCAAGGCAGTAAGACAAAACTAAGTAAAGGTCTTCATGAAGCACACACATTCACACACACATTTGTGAAATAAAAAAGTCAAATTATTATTTGAAAATTATGTCAAAGAAATTCTAGGTAAATACTAGAATAAAGCAGAGGAAATTATTTCAATAATCTGGAAATAAGAAGACATGAAACTCAGAAGAATACTGAAAAGGAAAGTAAAACAGACCTGACCTCATGGAAATTGAAATTCTCTACTTGGCAAAAGACACCATAAACAAAATCAAGAGACAAATGACAGGCTGGAAGAAAATATTTACAACACAACCAACAGGAAAAAGACTGATTACACTAATTAGATTCATATATCTCTACCAAATTAACGAGGAAAGAACAAACATCTCAAGAGAAAAAGACACCTCATAAAAAATCAAATACAAAGGACTAGTGAATCATTGAAAAGATAACTGAGATACAGTTCAAACTGTATCTCATTAATGATTACAGAGATACAGTTTTTAAAATTGGTGTCCTATCCGTCGAGTAAAAAGGAAAAGTTTGAACACAGCAAGTGCTGACGGGGTGGTGGGAGGACACTCAGGCCCCTCCCTCTTGGTTGGGGTGGAACCCGACACCACCATTTTGGAGGGCAATTTGACAGTTTCTCTCAAAAACAATAAATACGAATACACACCCTTTGATGTGGAAATCCACACGGTAATAACTGTTACTACGCAAAAGATGTTCACCACACAAAGATGTTCATAGCAGCATTGTTTACAACTGGTGAAAAGTGGGGGCCACCTAGTGTTCATCATGATGAGAATAACTAAATAAAGCATGGCATGTCCCCACCTCGCAATTCCTCATAGTCATCAATAAGAATTGGGTCCCCCGCCCCATGAGGCTCAGTTGGTTGGCCATTGTCCCGTAAAGCAGAAGGCAGCCAGTTCTATTTGCCATCAAGGCACGTGCCTGGGTTGCAGGTTCGGCCCCTGGTTGGGGCGCCTACAAGAGGCAAATGTTTCTTTCTCCCATTGATGTCTCTCTTCCTCTCTCTCTAAAAATAAATAAATAAATAAATGAAATCTTGAAAAACAAAACTTTCCCTATTAAAAAAAAAAGGAATTGGGTCAACCCAGGTGGCTGACACAGAATATAGAAAACAGTAACATAAAAGAAAGGAGTGGAGAAATGGAAATGACACTGGTTTTATTACAGTTTCATTTACATGCAGCGTCAGTGTCAATAAAATCTCTCGGAAGTTTCTGGGGCTTTCTGACATTTTATCTTCTGTGCTTCTATCATTTACGAAATTTGTTGTTGGTGAGTATGTGTTACGTTTATAAGTCTTAAACTGAAAACACAGCTGAATGAGAATTGAACATCTGAAGTCTATTATAGAGACACAGTGCTTGGTATTTCCTTTCTCAGACCTGAGTCGACTGTCAGCCCAACGGTTCTGGGCCACGAGGACGACTCTATGAAGACCCTTAGTTAGGCTCATCTCATGTACATGTGTGGGCATGTACACATGTCACATATATATGTGCACACACACAGTTGTCCAGCTCTGCATAGGCATGTGGGAGGCACAATTTTACAGCACACAGAACAGTCCATAGAACATCCTCTAATGTGTTTATTGGTGCAAGGAGGTAAATGACCAGAGCCAAGGGAGCAGAAACCAATGTGGACAGTGAGAACCCACCACCCATCCCGGGCAGGCATCGTCCCAGGGAGGTGACACACCCCAGGACACCCGCGGTGCCCTCCCGGCTCTGGCTTTTCCCATTTGTCTTCAGACGAGTGAGCTCGGGGCAGCGTGGCCATCAGCACGGGGGCTCGTCCGCTCGGGTTGTGTTGTGAGCACCTCACCACCGAGGTGGGAGCCCTGCCTGGGCGACGGGGGCTCACGCGTCCTCGTCCCTGAAGACTGTCAGGTTGTGCTCCCGGATGTGCCGCAGCAGGACCCGTCCGCGCTGCTCCAGGGCCAGCAGAGCCTGCTGCAGCCCCTGCCTCCCGCCTTGGCTCTCCCAGAACACAGGGTCCCTCTGCAGGGACCTGAGCAGCATGTTCTGTAGGCACCCGGACTGGAGAACATTCACCACGGACTCCGGAAACCTGGACGAACGTCCCCGAATGTCAGAATGGAAAGGAAAAGCAAACGTGATTTTAGAGCTTTCTGGTGAAAGGCGAAGCCAAAGGCTACATCGGACACAGCAGGATCGGCCAGCCCGCAGAGTCCCGGGCCGCCCGCCCTCGCTGACTCACAACCCGGGACTCTCCCGCCCGCTCAGCTGTGGCAGCAGGAAGGGGATAAAGTTTGCGGGCAGGGCCCATCCCACGGAGTTGCCGGGCAAATCGTCTCTGCCCTCCCGGTGCGATGCCCGCTGCTCTGCCTCACAAAAGCCAGAAAGATTCCCAGGAAGGCCGAGCTGCCTGCCAGGACTGGGCAAGGAGGACAGGCTGCCAGGCTCCATCGGGACAAGGCCAGGGTCAGCTCGTCCATAGCCCGGCAGGGCAGCCGGTGGTCTGTGGGGCCAGGAGGCCCTCAGGATATCGGGGTGGGGACACTCCATCCGGAAGCCGAAGGGCCTGCTGGCTCTATCCCCTCTGGGGGTCCAGATCTAATGGCTTTTGTCTGACAGTGGATGGAGGGCTTCTCAGGAGCCACGGTTTAAGGTCCCACAGTGTACAGCAGGGCCGTCAGGTCTCAGCCCCTGACCCCCACCCGGCCCCTTCGGCTCTCACCCATCGATGCCCTCCAGCAGCCGGAAGTTCAGCTTGTCCTCAGGCCGCTGAAGATGGCCGGCATTGTCGATGTAGACCAGATGAGACGGGTCACTGCTCCGGACCTCGGGGAAGAAGGAGCGGGGCAGAGACAGAGGGGGTGAGGGGGCAGCCCAGCTGGTGCCCATGGTCGCTCTCAAGGGGAATGGAGGGGCTTGGGGGCCCTGAGCTGCCCGTGCCACCATCCGCCCTGCTGCTTGTCCCGATGGCCCCCAGGTGCTGAGCTGCCAGCTGGCCCGGTGCTAACACTGCTCAGTCCCCGAGGCATCGCCCCATTGAGCCCTCCCAGCACCCTTAGAAGGGGGCCCCTCGCGTGAGCCCCATTTTCCAGAAACAAGGCACAAAGAAGTAATTTGCGCCAGGTCCCACTGCTAATAAGTAGCGGGCTGGTTCAAACCAGGCCTGAGCCACAGTGCCATCCTGCAGGACTGCCGGGCGGAGGGGCCGAGTCTCGCCCTGGTGGCCAGAGGGCTGAGGAGCACAGTGAGAAGCGGCAGGTGCAGGGGGGACACTGCCCAGCAGGACTGCAGGGTGGACGGCACATGTGCACACTCACCCCTACCCCCCACACACCTGTGCCCAAACACCTGGGCGTGTCCCTGAGCGTCACTGAGAACACGGGACACTCTCCTCCTCAGGGAGCACCGACCCAGCACCATCTCGACAGGAGAAGAGTTAGCGTCTCCTAAACCTCCTCAAAACTAAACCCAGCGGCGGGGAATTCTCTCACACCTCCCAACCCTGCTGCTTTTGGGAGGTGAAAGGCCATCTCTTCCAGCTCCTCCCCCACCCTGTGCACACTCCCCCTTTCTGCACGTTCTGCAGGACGTCATGGCGATTTCTCATGATTCTCTCCAGTGGCCTTAGTTCAAAGTATGAACATTTGTCTCCAGGATCCTGCTCCCCCCTCTCCGCCTCTTTTCCTTCCTCACCCCTCTCCCCAACCTTCTCCCCACAGCACGGGTCACCTGTCCCTCGCAGCCTGGTGGCTCCTCCCTCTGAAGACTGAAGGGTCAGTTCAGTGACTGCCCATCAGGGCAAATGATGGACAGACAGCCTTACCTTTGACTGAGGAAGGGGTGATCTGCTCTGGGGGCCGGGGCTGGAGCATCCCCAACACCCAGAGACTCTGCAGCAGCCCTGGCTGCCAGGCTGGTGTGTCCTGTGTGAATTTCAGCCTGGGACACCATGCTGATGGCCACCCACCCAAAGCAGCCGGTCTGGTGAGGCTGCATGGACACCAGGCCTCACTGCCTCCTGCCCAGGGGCCCCTGACTCCTTGTGCAGGATGAGCAGCCATCCTGAACCCCAGGGCCTCTCTCTGATGGCCTTGGCACAGCGCTTGCCACCCCGAGTGGCACTTTCAACGGGGGCAGCACATTAGTGTTCCTTTGGTCAGCCTGCCTCGCAGAGTTATCAGGCCCTAGGAGAGAGCTCTGTCGCTGCCATCAACCAGCCAGATGGCCCTGGAAATGCCCTCCTCATCCCAGGCCACAATCTGCATGTTGACTAGCACAAGGAGTCTGTCCAACCAGATGCAGCATTCTGACGCAGCGTCCAGGGGCCCTCAGGGCTCCCTGGCATCTCTTGGGGACAGTGGAGTCTGTGAAAAAGGCTCCTGCCCCACCCGACACCTCGACCGCATTCTAAGGCTGCATTTTTCTAAGTTGTATATGTTATTCAAACAAAGAGTTCTGCTGCTAAAAGGAACAGGACTGGGAACCCACAGGGCTGCACAATCTCTGTGCTCGCTCGAAGCATCTTCTGAAGGAGACAAGAAGACCGGAGTCTGGGCGGTGAGGACACATACCAGGATGTGGACCAGCCGCAGCTCACCGGGGTTCCCGCACTTCTCCCGGAGCCCCTCTTCCACACAGGGCTCCGAGGACTCCGGCTCAAAGCCGCAGCAGTAACGATCCAGGCGGTCATGGACCTGTGGGGACACACCTCTTCTGAGGGCGGGTGGCACAGAGCGTGTCTCCACCAGGCCTAGCACCCAGGCCTGGCCCCTGGGCCACACGCTGGGGACAGTCCTCACTGGCTCTGTGGGTGGCCTCCAGCTCCCAATGGGATTCTGCTCTGCTTCCCTGGCCAGCAGCCTGCCCTGCACACCAAGAGTGTTTGCTCATGCCTCAGGCCGGCAGGGGTTTCCAGCCACACCCTCTGCCTCGTCTACAGCTGCTCCAGAGCTCTGGCCTGAGGCCTGGGTTTTGGTGCTGACCGTGTGTCTACTGGGAGACCGCACAGGCCATTCTGTGCCGATTTCAACCTGCAGCCATGTTTGTTTCCAGAGAGAGCTACAAGGGATTTTGGCCCCTCCAGCACATGCCTTGCTGGCTTCCAAAATTCTTCACCTAATTAAATATCTAACGGAAAGGGCCTGACGGGGCCCTGTTTCCAGATTCGATTCCTGTGCTGTGCCTTCTGCTATTCTCTCCACTTAAGAGAAATGCAGTTTCAACAGCAGCGACTAGCAACCAAACCAGACCAAGTACAAATTTCATTCCCACGGCCCTTCAGAACTAAATTCTTTTCCCCGTTTTCAAAAAAATGACCTGGGCCAGTGGATTCCAAAAGAGCCACTGGCTATCCCTGGCGGCCCACGCCCCCCACCTCCCCCGACTCCCACCCCACCAGGCAGGAGCCCTCCCTCAACGTGGGGGCAGCCACGGGGCCCTTTCCAGTGGAAAGGCTGGCTCTGGGCTGGGCTGGCTTGCAGCCTGGGGTCAGATCACCGTAGGGTGGCAGCTTCCCTCTCCGGGGAGGGCAGGGGACTGGTCCCACACAGACTGGCTGGCTATTAAAGATTTTATGAGGCTTTGTAGAGGTCAGGGTGTGGCGGAGCTGACTTGCACAAACTCTCACTCTCCTCCGGGGCCTCCTGACAAAGGCCGATCTCCCCAGAGGCTCCAGGGAGGCCCATCAGGATGCCCCATCTGCTCTAAGCCTGGGGAAGAAGTTGAGACACCAGTTGAGGATCTGGATGAATAGCTGGCGGGCTTTGAGGACATGAGTGGAGGAGAACTGGATCTTATCTAAAAAGACGTGTGTAGATCACTCCCACTTTTAAACATCAACACAAAACCCAGCAGCTATTAAAAGATGAATCCGCCCTGGCTGGCATTGCTCAGTAGATTGAGCACCAGCCTGTGAACCAAAGGGTCGCCAGTTTGATTCCCAGTCAAGGCACATGCCTGGGTTGCAGGCCAGGTCCCCAACAAGGGGCACATGAGAGGCAACCAACCACACATTGATGTTTCTCTCCTTCTCTTTCTCGCTCCCTTCTTTCTCCCTCCCTTCCCCTTGCTAAAATAAATAGATAAAATCTTGAAAAAAATGAATCTTCCACAACAAAAACACTAGAAATCGCCCCAAGCCTGCAGAAACAAGTCGCGCCCACTGTGCGTTAGTACTGACCACTGCTCTGGAGGCACCACCAATGCTGTGAGGTGAGAGAAAGAGGGAAGAGGCGGTGAGAAGATGGAACTGGCATCACAGATGAAATGAGCATGAACTTGGAAAACCAAGGACAAACCCAGCAATGGCTGAAGTAAAGCAAAGTTAGCAGGTGGCCAGTAACCAAAGTAATAAACAGAGATGAGGGCCCCCACTCAGACCGAGCGCTACCGGCCAGAAAACACAGAGGAGGAGAGAGGCCCCGTGTTCAGCAGCCGCAGGAGATGAAATTCCCAGGAATAACCCAAGACGAACGCAAGGATCCAGCTGAAGGGGACGTCGGGATGCTTCGAGGGGCGTGAATACCTGGAGAGCCGCATCCTATTCTCGGCTAGAAAACGCTACATTTTAGGGTATAAAGTCTCTCTCTCTAAGTCTATACCAATTTAACTGGATTCCGATAAAACCCCAAAAGGACTTGGGAAGGAGAAGGAGATACCGAGCTGACTAAGTTTCATGAGAACAGTGTGCAAGGGTATCAGGGAAATCCTAAGACAGAGCAAAGAGACAGACTACACCCTGCCGGCTATTAGCATAAAATATAAGCACAGTAATTAAAACAGTGTGATTCTGGCATATAAATAGAGCCTTTACGGGCACAGAAAAGAGCCCAGAAATAGACCCACATACACGTGGAAACTGGCAGTATTTCAGGCTGGGGTAAAGATTATTATTTAACAAATGGTGCCGGAACATTTGGGTTGCCATTTGAGAAAAAAAAATCACTGTTTTGCACCTTATCTCTTAAAAAAACATCCAGATGGATCAAAAACATATGAAAACACATGGGAGAGTTTTTAAAATAACCCTGAACTGAGGATGGCCTCTTAAAATAAAAGATACCAACCTAGAAGTTGGTAAAAGAAAATTGATAATTTTAACATAAAATTTTTTAAATATCTGCACAGCAAGGAGACTGTAAAGAACTTAACGACAATTGAACCCGAGAGAAATAGTGCAGCGGAAACAAAAGAATAATTTCCCCAAACTCTAAAAAGCTCTTGAAACCATTAAGAAAAAGACCAACAGCCCAACAGAAAATGGGGCAGAGATATGGCCCAACGGTTTTAAAAATGCCTCAACAGAGGCCAGCCTGGGGCGGGGAGGAAGGAATGGCGGGGCGCCCCCCTCTCAGGCCCGAGCAGTGCAGGGCTGTGGCCTACGAGGGGGTCCCCACCGTGTTCGCACCTTGGGCCCTCCCTTGCCTCAGGAAGTCCTGTCCTGCTGCTGCGTGACAAATTCCCAGGAGGTCAGCGCCTTAAGGGAACACATATGTCATCTCACAGTTTCTGTGGGTCGGGAACCTGTCACGTGTTTGCCAGGCTCTCTGCTCAGGGTCTCACCAGGCTGAGTGCAAGGTGTTGGCGGGGGCCGCCTCTCCGTTGCCACTCAGGGTCCCCTCCTACACTCACTCCATGTTTCTGGCAGAAACCATTGAAACCGTAGGTGTTTGAAGCCGCTGAGTGTTGGAGAGGTTTGTTACCCAGCTTTATCTCCGCAATCACTAACTAGTACAGAGGGCCACGCAGGGTTTGCAAAGCATAGTGTGTGGGGGGTATGAGGAAGGTGTATGTGTGCAGTTCTTGTGTACTGTGTGTCCAGGTAAGTGGTACATTGTGATACACACACACACACACACACACACACACACACACACACAGGAGAACAAGGGTTCATCCGGAGCACACAGAACTAAGGAGCAAGCCTACCACAGAGTGGGCCGTGTGTGGGGTTTGTACCCACTCCCGTGAGCAGGTACCTCCAGTTCCTGTGCTGGGAAGCCCACAGCCCCGCCTCTCCTGCTTGCCAGTGGTTTCTAGGAAGGCAGCGTCAGCCGGACGGGAGTGTTTGACTTGACCTGTCTGCAGCAGCCCAGGGAAGGGCTGGCACGAGGCCAGCTGAGTCGTGTCTGACCACACGCCCAACCTGTGTGTGCTTTGGCTGCTGTGGCTTCCATCCTGCAGCGGGCCTGGGCAGCGGGGGCGGGCCCCACGCCACAGCCCAGGAGACGGACAGAGGGCCTCTGCGTGGAGCAGAAAGCCACTGTGTGCACATCAGCGGGACGGGGCTTCACAAGGCGCACAGGTGACTCTGGTCTCAGGGCCCCAGGCTTCCCTGAGAAGGTCCCCTCTTCCTGCCTTCAGTCATGGCCAGGTGAACAGTGACCGTGACAGAGGGCCAGCTCTGGAGTCAGACCATCCAGGCTGCGTCTCTGCTCCACCAGCCGTGACCTTGGGCGAGTAACCTCACCACTCTGGACCTCAGTTTCTCAACTTTTGCAATAGAGGTAAATGTCATGCCTCACTCATACGTTTGCCATGAAGATTGGATGAGTTGATTCATGTCGAGTGTTGGGGACAGTGCCTGCTTATTATGGGGCATGTGCCACTCACCAGGCACTGTCTCAGGTACATTCCACGAAGGGTCTTGTGTACGGAAACCACACTGGGTCACGGCAACCCCTGGACCCGGCTCCCCCAGAGACATGCCTTGAGATGAGGATTCAAGCCAACGTGGTTTATCTGTGAAGCTAATCCCAAAACATAAGCAGGGGCATGACACAGGGAGGGCCGGCAGTCACCGCTGTGGGGCCCGGGCTCCGTGCTGGTGGGACACTCACAGAGGCTCACGGACGTGCGCCGCAGAGCAGCCTGGGGCCAGTCGGCGCATGGCTGACACCTGCAGTCCCCCAGGTACCCTTCTGCCCTGACTGGCGGTCCTGGAAACTCCAGCCCCTCCCCCAGGGTCCCCAGGAACTCTAGGTTACTTCCCGGTGCAGTAGGGACCTCGGCTGCCCTGTGGCTTCCTTCTCACTCTCCAGTGCCCGGATGGGACCGATACCGCCTCTCTCTCTCTCTCTCTCTGCCCTCTTTCTCCATCCCCTCCCCCTCTCTCATTTACAAATTTCACAACCACCTCCAGTCTTTGCTGAGTCATGGATGTAACATTATAAACAGTGCTGAGCTGGTAAATGTTTCACTCCCCCGGGGGTGGGGGAGTCCCCATACGTAGCCTGTGCTGGTTTCCGTGGAATCGCCCCCCCAACCCCGGGCCGGTTCCAAGCTGGAACCGGGCAGAAGCTGGCAGGAGGTGAGTAACCACCATCACACAGTGATCATGAGACAGACAGGACTAACCTCGACAGCAGGGGTAATGAGAAAAATGCAGTAAAAGAATTAGGAAGTAATGCATTCTGAATGTTTCTTACCTTTGTTGCTAATAGAATTATTATATATTTGGTTTATATAATTTAATTTTTTAAACACCTGTGTTTCACAATCAGGCCACAGAATTCCTGAAAATTTTAACCATCAGCTCTGCTGTGTTGACGCAAACTATTCTAGCTCACAGTGACTGGAAAAATAACCACAGAGGCTGACCACGTGGGGTTTGGTGGTCAAGACACAGGCCCCAGGGGAAGAGTCCCCAGCTGTGCCCCACCCCTGCAGCTCTCCAGCCCCACCCGGCCCCGCCCCCATACCTGGAGCAGGAAGTCGAAGAGGGCCAGGCGCGCCCACTCGGCGCGGTGGATGCCCAGGCAGGAGGCCCGGCCCCGCCCGCTGCAGCCACCTGCCAGCAGGGCCTGGTACTGCAGCCAGCCCAAGGCCAGGGAGTTCTGGTCATCGTCTGGGTCGCCCAGGTGCTGCACGTCGGGAGCCCACCAGATGACGGGCCTCGCGCCACCATCCGTGTAGCGATAGGGTAGCAGGGGGCTGTGGAAGCGCCGGGCCACGGCGGGAAGGCTCCGGCGCAGCCCCAGCACACGGTCCACGTGGAAGGATAGCACCTCGGACAGGTCTCCAGGCCTCTTGATCAGGCCGCAGAGCCCCCGGGAGCAGAGTCCACCGAGCCCCGGAGATGTGTCCCGAAGGGTGCCCTCCGTGGAGAAGCCCACCTGCAGCACCTGCCCGTGGCCAGGGACCCTGGCTTTGCCCACCACCTCCCCCTGGGCCAGCAGCTGGAGGGTCTGCACATCGTGCTCTGTGAGCCATGGGGGCACCTGCCCACTGGCCCCCAGGCCAGGGGTCTCAGCAGCACACCAGGTGGACTCTTGCAGCTCCCTGAGAGAGCCAGGCCACTGACGAGCGCCTGCAGCTGAGGTGGGACCCCCTGCTCTCTGCCCACCAGTCAAAGCTCTGCTCCTAGCTCCTGGCAGGTCCGTGCCTCGGGCTGGATGGGGCCAGAGGGGTGGTCCAGCATCAGCTCTCCGGTGTCCTGGGAAGGCGCTGGCCATGGTGTCTGTCTCACTCTGTACCTCCCGGACAGGACCATCCTTCCAAGGGGGTTGCAGGTCTTTGGCTCCTGGGCCCTTGACCTCATCCTCCCTCAGGAGCACGAGACGCTGAGTGCTGAGCCTCAGATCTCCTACAGATGCCAAAGCAATGTCCCTCTTGACCCGCCCTGCATGCTGGCTTGCCCCTTCCGGGGACCTGCTGCTGTCCACTCCCCTTCTTCGGTGGTCTTGCTCCTCGGCACACTCAGGGATGGAACTCCTGGGCAGGGCCCAGTCTCTCCAGAAACGCAGGCTTCTTGTCTGTGGCCTCCAGCGGGAGCTCAGAGCCTGCAGGCTGTGAGGGTCAGGGGTGCCAATCACCCCCCGGGGCTCCATGGCCGCCTGAGGCTGTGCGGGGAAGCAGGTGACAGCCATCACAGACAGAGTCATCAGGAGGCAGAATGCCACCACCAACCGCCTCTTGCCACGTAGCTTTCTCCAGAGCCAAGACGCCTGGAGAAAGAAAAAGAAAATCTGAGACCTGGGATAACGTTAGCCCCCGCTGACCAAGCAGTGGGGATGGTGAAGGAAGGCCCTTCCCAGATGCCCGCGGAGGGGAGAGGACAAGCCACTGCCTTCCGGGGAGGCCAGCGCCGTGGGCAGCCCTCCTGCCTCAAAGCCCAGCGGGTGTGCATCCGGGGAGCTCCGCTGATCCCTGCAGGCAAACTGGGGCTCCCCCTTTGAGTAAACCACCAAATGACCCTGGTCACCACGCACTATCAGGGTCTCTTCCACATCTGTCCCCACCGCTGGGTGCTGGCCCTCTCTTAATCTCCCTGTGTGTCCCCGGGCCACTCTGTCGTCTCCCACAAACACTCTTCGCCTTACCAGGGGCACACAGCTGCTCAGCTACGAATGGTGCCGCCTGCCTCCCTTGCAGGCAGGGGAGACTCGAGGCCACTCGACTAAGTCCTGGCCGGTGGCAGGAATCCGCCACTTTTGCCTGCCCCTCTTGCTCAGAAGGAAGTCAGCCACCAGCTCGGCAGGTGCTGGCAGGGACACGCCCTGGGGCAGGGAGTTTTTTCAGCACTTGGCGCCGGGACCAACAGCATCGCTCAGGACCTTGTCAGAAAGGCAAGTTCACAGGCTATACCCCACCCACATCTACTCAATCAAAACCAGGGAAGGAAGGAGCTTGGGAGCCTGTGGGAGCAATGGGGGCTGCGAAGAGCTGGGGCCACCAGGCTTTGGAGTCAGAACTGATTCATCTTGTAACCCTTTCAACTCAGGACATACGGTCAGTCGTTCCATCTGTAATATATTGAGAAACCTCCGCCCAGTTGCCTTTAGCGGCTATACCGGTTTTTCGGTCTGCCACACATGGTGACGGTTTTTAGCACCAAGGAGGCGACCAGTCCACACCTGGCTTTGGGTGGCGTGGCAGCGGGCCTGGAGGCCTTTTCCACAGCTGTCTGTGTCGACGGAGCGCTGCCGAAGGGCCGCACACGCGTTCAGCGGGGAACGCGCCCAGCGCCTTTCCCGGTCCCTCCGCCGGAAGGCTGCTCAGGTCGCTTCCAGTTTTCATCCGAGCAAACAGTGCTGCGTGTGCAGTTCTGGGGGGAGCAGCGGGGGTTCCTACAGGGGCTGCCCCGAAAGATGAGGTGTCCGGTCCCACCCCTCCTCCTTGGTGTGAACTCTTCACTGCACGGCCGTTGGTTTCTGCTTCGATCCTCCAGAACACAGAGGCGGGAACCGCAGCATTCCTACTGACAGATGAGGAGAGCAAAAAGTTCGGAGCGCTGAGGTCTGCCCGGGCTCGCGCAGCTGGTGAGAATGCCCGTGTTTCCAATTAAAACTAAAAGGAGAAATGGCCGTGGACAAAGACTCTGTTTGGGTTTTGCTTTTTTTTTTTTTTTTGGCCTTCCTTCTAAAAAGAAAAATATGAATTCAAGTTGGATTCATCATCTGGATTCTCAAACGTGTGGATCCCATGGGGGAAAAAATAAATCCTCTTTTTAAAATGCTTCAAGGAGACGGAATGTTTTGATCCCGCTCTCGGCCTCCCTCAGCTTCAGACCAACCTGGGGAAGCTGGCGAGTGTGGTCTGTGCGGGGAGAAGGGTTCCAAACGGCCCTGAGCAGACGTCCCCGCGGGCCACCCAAGCGAGGCTCCGGGAAAAGAAAAGCAGCTTTGATCAAAGTGAAAAAAAATCCTCTGAAGAGAACTCAGTATTCAGCTGAATGGTAAAGGGTACATTAGAGAAAGGAAAAGCGCAAGGGGGGCACCCGATACACTAGAAAGTTTGCTGGCGGAACCCAGGGGGCCCCACTGCCGCCCAGGCCCCAGCTGACCCCGCCCTACCTCCCCAGTTCTTTCCCACACGGCCCCACAATGACGGGGGCAGGAGGGAAAGAGGAAGGGGGGGGTCTTTCACTGTCTGGCTCTACAGGGGATCCTTGTCTTCTCCCTCCTCAAATCCCACCTCCCACCCATGTACTGAGGCTGCCCCTTAGTCTATCAGAGAAGATGCTCACGGCCCCCCCCTCCGCCCCGTCACATCTGCCCCAGCTGCAGGGACGTGGCTTTGGGGGAGACACAAGCGAAGTTCTCGACCAGCTCCTGACCTTCCGAGCTGCGTCCCAACAGCGAGTTACACAGCCTCTCTGCCTCATTCCCTCAGTTCCAGAGTTGGGGAGGGTGAGGTCATTCCTCCCCCCAAGGGTTGTGGGGGGGGGACATACGCACCAAAACAGGTTAAGGGTCCACCACATGGTTTGGTACATTTAAATGAGGGGTGGGATCGGCCCTTTTCTGCCTTCACTTTCTGAACCCCCTGTCTTCCTGGGATCTGAGAAATGACCCACGCCCCTTCCCGGGTTTGGGCATATTGTGATAATGTCGGAGTTAAAAAGTAGAGATATTTGAGAGCGTGACCCAAGGTAGTCAGAAAGAGAAATTCTTTCATCATAAAACCACAAGGGTCCGCCAGAAGGAGGTCACCTTGGCCATGAGAAACGTCTCACCCTGCCCAGGCCCTGCCCCAAGGTACCCAGGACGGTACAGGAAGGGATCGGGCTTAAAGGCGTGCAGGAAGGAGAGGAGAGGAAGGATGGGGGGGGGGGGGGGGGGGGAGTAGGTGGAGGGACCCAAGGAAAGACTGAGAGTTGACAAGAGTGAGTTTTGCTTCCCTAGCAACGGAGGGAAGGGGGGGCAGCCTGGTAAAGAGCCAGGGCCCCTGAGGAGCCGGGGACTGTGCTGGGCTGGGGACAGGAGCCACCACCAAGCTCCCTGTTGTCATCTCTGCACTGGGCAGGAGGGCAGACCTGAAACATGAAGTGTCAGTGATGGGACTGTCTGTTCACCGCTCTCCCTTCCTTCTCCCCTGGCCACGTCTCACTGAAGGTGGAGCGCGCCCCCACCCGTGGTCCCTGACTGGGTGACGGGACTTGCTTTTACCGACGGCATGTGAGTGGCCGTAACATATGCTGTGCCCAGCCGAGGTTTTAAATGTGCTTGTGCGGTGAGACTGGCCTCCTGGCACACCTGTGCTCCACCAAAAGGGGAGTCATTCCCAGGTGAGGCACCCGGGGCAGCCAGAACTCACCCCTGAGCCCTGTAACCAAGAGAAAGGTGTAGGTGGTTGTGAGTCACCGAGATGTTGGGGTCGTTCGTTATTCGGCCTCATTGCAGCAGAACCCAGCGAATGCAGACCCCTGGGTGATTTCTGTTGGACGCAATGCGGGCCCTTGGTCAGATGGCAGTTTGATTCTGTGGTGACGAATGGTAACTCAGTTTACAGTCGTGAAGACTGTGTAGTGTACACAAGTATTGAATTATAATGTTGTCCACCCGAAATAACACAGTAACAGTAAGGCGGATTAGTGACAAAGTGTGGCGTCCTTCCCTCGACCAGTAAGAGCACAAGTCCTGTCACTGCAGATGGGGCTCAGGCTGTGACGATGGTGGTGGAACCTGGTCACAGATAGTCCTGTGAACCAGTGTCCCCAGAAGATGGACAGATGCCATGGGGAGAGGAAACCAGCGAGGTCTTTTGAGAAGGACTTTAAAAACAATTCTAACACACGCTGGTGGCCTTTGCGTCTGGGAAACAAGGACACTGGGAGGAAAGGACTTGATTACAGTTCAAACTGCAACCGCCAGCAGGAGACTTCTTCTGGCTTCTAAAGGGTCAAAGGGAAAGGAATGGTCTTCTGCTGTGGGAGAAGCCAGAACTGGGCCTCTCACTTTGGAACATTAGCTGCCCCTTCCCCAGACCACCCCCCAAATGCCCTGCTCCAAACCCCGACACCCACCGGCTGCTGAAGAGGAATTAACAGCAGGGATGTCTTGATGGGAGCTTCCTGGGTGGGAGAAAAGACTGAGGGGAGCCACGTGTTGAAGATGATGATGATGGTGTGGTGATGTTGGTGGTGATGGTGATGGTAGTGACGGTGGTGGTAGTGGTGGTGGTGGTGGGGATGTTGGTGAAGATGGTGATGGTGGTGGTGGTGGTGATGGTGGTGCTATGTGTGCAGTAAAAACCAAGGTTGGCTCTGGTTCTGAGTCATCATTAAAGACGTGACAGTCCCTTCTGTGCCGTTCCCTGACCTCTGCCCTCTTCTAAACAGCCCCCCACAGGCTGATCATCAATCCATCCCCAGTCAGACTCTCAGTGAGACTGACAAAGGTTTTGGAAATGCAGTTTCTGTTCCATTTTTAAAAGTCAATGAAGTAATTTTCATAGCCGTGGCCAGGGTGAGAGGTGACACGTAAGCATATTGTCAGAGAGCGGGATTGAAAGCACATGTCCTGTGAGTACTGCGGCAGACCCGACCTCGTCACACCCTGCTTCCCTTGGCTGAACCCAGAGTCAGGCCCCGGCGGGGGGAGCTGGGCCGGCACAGGCCTCTGTGGGCTAAGGCGACAGGCACAGCCCGTCTGAATCTCCAGACGCGCGGCGGCCCTCTCTGAGTCGGGCCTGCTGGGCCCGGGGAGGCTGGAGCTGCCCGCTCCGCCGCCACCAGGCCAGGCCACTTCGCTCAGCGTCACTGGAGGGCTGTGATTTCCCTTCCACATCAGCAACTTCAAGACAAGAAAGAACTTTTGCCCCTGTAATTTCTGGCCTGGCCAACTCCCAGGAAAAAGAAAAAAGGGGGAAAAAACCCACAGAATGACAACTGGCATTTATACATTTTACGCTATGTGCCTGGGGCTGTTGGGGGAATTTTGCTTCTCTTGGCTCCTCTAAGCTGCGTGCCAGTCTTACAAGACTGGTGTTTGTATTCATTATGCCATTTTACAGGCGAGAAAAACAAAGCACGGAGAATCGGGGTGACCCGAAGTCCCCAGAGCCAGCAAGGGCACCACCAGGACACGAAGCCAGGTGGTCTGGCTCCAGAGCCGGCGGCCTAGTCGCTGGGCCACCTTGGGGAGGGGCGGCTGCAGCTCTGATTCTGAAAAACTGCGCTGGGTCTCCGGGGTGGGCCCGGCTCTCAAAGGAGGGTCACCTCTTT